TTCTTATCTTGGATGGCCTGCATGATGCATTCCCTATTTGCGGAGTTGAATGCGTTTCTGATGTCTTGGGTCGCCACCAGGCAATACTCTTTCGTTCCACCTTTCCATCTGGTTCTTGCGATTGCTTCCTTGGCCGTATCAACGACCAGTTTGATTGCGTCCAGGGTTGATCGTCCTTTCCGGAATCCATACTGATTGTCTGCCTGGAGTGGGTCGACTACTGCATTTATTCGTTGATGAATTATGCGCTCAAATATCTTACCCGCCGTATCTAGCATTCAAAGTGGTCGGTAAGATGACGGTTCTTCTGGTGGTTTCTTCCCTTTAGGTAACAGTACCAATCGTTGCTGTTTTCACTTACGAGGAAAAGTCCCCTCCTTGAGGCATGCATTATAAGCGTCTAGGAATAATGTTGGAGCTGCCTTTATGATGGTTTTTAAGGCTAAATTAGGGATTCCGTCCAATCCCGGCGCTTTATTATTCCCTACACGGTTACAAGCCTCCAGCAATTCTTCTTCAGTGACAGGTGGGATGTCGTCCAATTCGCCTGGCGCCAACTGGTAATCGAAGTTGCGTTGCTGTGGGAACAGTGCAGTTCCCTGACCATTCCCGCGATGGTGTCTGTATGTATGTATGGGTGTGTGTGTGTGTGTGTGTGTGTGTGTGTGTTTGTGTGTGTGCACAGTAAAAAATTTTTCGTCAAATTTAAGACAAAAACATGTGTTGAATCAACACTCTATTGTGTTGAATCAACATACTAAAATGTTAAATTCTACATGCTAAGATGTTAAATTCTACACAAACATTTTTACACTTTTACACAATGACGAAAAATTTTTTACTAAGTGTGTGTGTGTGTAAACCTCTCATAACTTTTGTGCGATTCCACTGATTTGAATGACAATCGCGTTATTCGATAAGGTTCAGCGAAACTTAGACTTCCTCATAAATTTAAAATAACTTTTTTCTTTCAACAGCTTTTAAACAGATGTACCAATCAATTCCAAAATCTAAACAGTTCTTTAATTTAAAAAACGACGTTGACTGCTGCTCGTCCGGCGAGTAACCTGGAGCTTTGCTGATGACAATCCGTAACTCCTATTCTTTCCCGCTTCACAGCATTATTTATATTTGTTAAAAATGCTAGCCGTAAGATGGACGGTGTGGCTTAATGTATATAGAATAAGTGAAAGGAAATTTAGTATAGACCGGATAGCTCAAATGGTAGAGTAGCCGACATGTCTTCGGAAAGTTCTGGGTTCGAATCCCAGTACCTCATCAAAAATCATGCCGATCTCAACTTGAGTCTGCCAGAGAAAGGGACCCCCATGCATGTAGCTGCATCGAATTCAGACTTAAGTATATATCCTAGCAGAAAATATTTCCACCAGGGTCGGACTACCCGTGCCGGAAGAAAAAAAAATCAATGGACAAATTAATAGCAGCAGATAGAAATATTAGAGAGCTGGAACACAATTATGAACGTAATTTTATTCAAGTAATAATTTTAAAAAATCGTGACAACTGGAAAACTGATTTATCCAAAAGTGAAGATAGTCACTATTTTTATTAGTTTCATTGGGGAGGGGGGTGTGTATATACTTGCTTCTAGGAGAATTGAACTATTAAACGAATTGAAAAAAATGGAGCAATTTACAAAAGCTATCCTTTTGCCGTATGATTTGATATTGGAAGTGATTAAATGCTTTAATAACAATGATTTAGAATGTTATTAAAGTTAGCCGACGTTCTAAATTTTTTGATTTTTTTTTTTAATCATCAAATTAGAACAAAAAAATTTTTTTTTAAATTGCACTTATAGTTTTTGAAGTTTTTTAGACGTGCAATTTTTTTTTTATTTTTTTGTAATGATTTTTTCAATAAAAAAAAATTATAAAAATTTTTAATTGTCGGCTAACTTAATTTTCATTGATTTAGAGAGATTCATAAATTTCTTTGAATTTAAACTATTTATTTTAAATTTTGTACCGATGTAAGACAAGGTCATCGACGACTATTTTTACAAATAATATTGTATTTTATGTATATATATGGCATTTAATTGATATTTTAGATTTATGTTAAATAAACTTCATGCTTAATTTTAAGTAACTGTTGACTTCTCTATCATTCTTATTTTTCTTTAAAAACAAATTAATAATATAGTTTATCAGAAGAAGCCTATACACTTCTTCAGTGTAACAAAACAAAAATATCTCTTTATATACTTAACAGTTGTAAAAACGGTGAAAAAATAATAAAATAAATATATTAAATATAATCGATAAAAGGTTTTATTAAAAAGTATAATCTAATTTAAATAACATTTATGGGGTCATCTGAGTGATCCGAACGGAAATGTAGCCAATGTAATAATTTTAAAGGAATTCAAAAAGTAACTTGCTCTCTAACAAGTTATATACATTTAATACTTCATACATAACACTTAATATATGTCAAATAATAGTAAATTCTATATAATAAAATACACACATTAAAACATTTAGATATCATATTTATGAAAAAAAATTAAACTGTAACCCATGAAACATTACAAAAGAACGACAATTGATCTGTCTTCTAAGTCTTCCAAGTCATAAGTAAGAAATTAGTTGTCGGTAAGGTAAATTTTTTTAGGTAACTGGCGGTGAAGGAAATTTAAATTATATTTATTAAATATTATATTTTATTTATTAAATATATAAATATTGATTACTAAAATAAAACAAAAAATCGCTTATTTAATGGGAAATTATTTATTTTTCTTTATAAAGTAATTTTTTATTAATTATATAAAATATTAAAATCAAACTGTTTTTTATTTGTTTCAACTTAAACTATTATTCATCTATACACTTTCTCAAAATTTATCAATATTAAAAGAAAAAAAACATCTTTTTTTTTTTAATTTTCTAATATTTTTGAACTTACTTATTATATCTGATATTCCTATATTTTTTAAACTTTAATCTAAGTTTAAACGAATTATATTTAAATAAATAATTTTTTCTTCTTATGTTATTCTAATTACATAGATATAAAAAATAATTGTTTGTTTTATAATATTCATATGACAAGAACGTAATTATTGATAAATGTTGAGAAGGTGTATAAATAAATAATAGTTTAAACTGAAACAAGTTAAAGAACAGTTTGTTTTAAA